AGGGGAGGGGGAGAACAGGCCTTTTGAAGGGTTGGTGTTTTGGGGCTGAGCGAGGGAAGGGCTCCTTGTGCAGGCCAAGTCACAAACAAAGGCACTGTGTTCCCCGGAGCCCTGGGGACTGGCCCCAGGGGAAGGCCAGGGCCTCGCTTCACCAGCGGTTGGGTTTTCCCATCCCGGCTCCTCTTGTTGCTTCAGCACGGGTTCAGCCTTAAGGCCACCCATGTCCTTCCAGCACCCAGAGACAGGAGCGGGACTGGCACCTCGAGTCAGCTCAGCCTGCCCCTGACAGCCAAGAGCCAAGGAACCCACCGCAGTGTGGAGGGCTGCAGCGTTCATGGAGACCATCCTGTACTGCTGCAGCTCGCCTTGTCAGCATTGCCCTCTCCAGGTCTGAAACGTGAGAGAGGAGCAGACCTGTGTCCACTGACAGTAAGTTTCTGGGCCCTCTCTGTGTAGCCACAGGGGAGCCCTGACCTCGGTTTGGGCTTCTGGATGAGCCAGTAACCCCAGCTGTCAGCAGGGCTGGTGCAATATTAATTACCACTCATTGCTGCTTCTCTGTAAAGTGAGTGCCCAGTGCATTAGCATCATTATGGGTGGGGAAACTGAGGCATATCAAGGGCATTCAGTCCTAAAAACACTGGCGTCGTCTGACGCTGTCGGGATGCACTGCCGATTCCGGAGCAGGAAGGCAATACTGTCCCTGGCTGTCCTCCAGCCCCACCGACCTGGGGACGCAGTCACAGAGCAGTCTTATGCCTGGCATTCACGGCTGCGGGTCCCAGTCTTGCCCTGGGTATGGGCTCAGGGGGACAAGCACCATCTTACGAGGCAGAAGCTCTTGCAGAGACAGCAGCACCTCTGAGGTGTCCCAGCCATGAGCTTGGGAGGTGCAGCCTCATGGTGCCTCATCCCACGGGGTTTGCACGGCTGTCCAAAGCCGAGCCGCATTCCTGGCCGCGGCGGCAGAGCCGGGCGCAGACCCGCCGCCGGGCAATAGGCGTGAGGACACAGACAGCTGTGCCAGGGTGGTGAGGGTAGCACCAAGTTTCAGTCAGGCCCCGAGCAGATACAGGATCTGCCCTGTCCCTGCCTGGGGAAGGGTGAGGCCACAGGTTTGTGGGAAAATGTTGTTTTTCCCTCCCCTGGACTGCCCCTAGCAGTCGGCTGGGCCCGCTCTGAATTGCGTGGGCCGGGGAAGTGGGGGCGAGTTAACAATTGTAGTGCCTCTGGCTTGGAGCAGAGCCACGGCAAACAATCCTCTCCTGGCCGCGCTCCAGATCTGACAAAACACGGAGGTGATATCGTATTCGTACCTACATGCTTTCATCCCAGATCACCTCCCGAAAGCCCTGCATGATTCTCCTGTCTGTGATGAATCCCTCTGCTTAGCCACAGAACAAGACAGCCTGTCCACAGTGTTGCAGCCAGGAATCCCATCCAGCATCCCTGCGAGGCCTCTGCTTTTGAAATTACAGCTGTGGATCTGGCAGCCAGTGGTGGGACCTGAGGTTAGAAGGTGATGTTGACTGAAGACGTGCGGACAGGGCATTCCAGGCATGCACGGGGTTAAATCGGAGGTGTCAGTTCACGGGGAGGTAACAGATATGTCCTGCTCCTCACTGCCTCTGGCTTTCCAGAAGCATTGCCCTCCCTCCCACATTCCAGCTGCTGCAGCTTTTCACAGCTGGCTGCTCTCCGGGGACATTTCCCAGAGCTGAGCAGGAGGGAGGGGAGCAAGCGGCTGTGGTCCCAGCACTGAAGGGGGGGTTGGTGGCTGGGCTGACTGTCACCCCCCCCAGGGAACCTTGGCCTGGAGCCCTTCACCCCCAGGAGCAGGCTGGCACAGGCAAACCTGGGCAATCCCAGGTCCCTGGCAGGGATCCACCCTCAGCCCTGGCCCGGAGAGTTTTTCCTGCTGCAGAGAAGGGACATCAATCTTTGCAGCTCACTTATTCCTTGGCCTCCAAAGCAGGGTAGCCAATTAGTGCTGGGTGTGATGGATGGCTTAGCCCCGTCCTCGTGACACCCATCCTCTGGAAACGGCTCCCACCACATAGAGGCACAGCCAGCCATAGCGGGGGATGGCTTTCACCAGCCTCCAGAGTCCCAGAGGGTCTCACAGGGGTCTCAGGGATGGGGAAAGGCACTGCAGCAGTGCTTGCTGAGCTCCCAGAGACATTGCAGGAGGGGAAACAGCCCTGAACGCTGGGCCAGGGTTGATAATTCAGGGCTTGGGGAGAGATTTCCTCTAATAATTCCCTGACTTGGCTGTGGCAAAGCCCATAGCTCTCTGGGGAAGAGCAGATCAGCTCTGGGCAGATGTTGGTCACCCACTGTTTGTGGCTCTGCGCTTGCGGCCAGGCTTTGCCATCGCAAGACAGCGTACCGTGGGAATAGCTTGCACGGACGCTCGGTGAGAGGCAAGTAGGCAGCAAAAATCCCATTGCTGCACTTAGACCCCGTCTCCCCTAGAATCATCCCTTGTCCGCAGTGAGGTAGGTCTGCCTGCTCTCTCCCGTGAGACATGGGCGATGGTTACTGAAACCTGGCTTCCCTCACACGCAGCTAAACCCTTTTAATCCTTCCCTGTCGTCTCCATTGAACCGACCTGTGAGGGGTCTCAGCACCGTCTCTGCTTCGGCTGCTCCCCGGCGCAGCTAATCCTGGGGTGGTTCAGATGGCCCTCCCAATCCCCCAGGGCTCGCTGGGGGCGATTATAAACAACTCTCCAGGAGCACAGGCTGGAAAACGGATCCGATTACAGGAGAAGTGGGTTTCGGGGCCCCTGCTCTGTTCATAATGAAGTGTAATCCTAGAAAAACATGTTGCCAATTACACTTCAATTGAACCCAGATAATGATGCTTAGACAAGGCCCAGAAAAGATGGAGTCTGGACAGTGAATTCCTTTCTAATGGAGAAGAAAAGCGTTCCTCCGTGGCAGGTCTGGGCTCTGCTTGGTTCAGGCTCATTGTGATATGAGCAAGAGCTTGAAATAACCAATCTCTGGATCCCATTTAAATGATTTTATCAGTGGAAAGAGTATTAATCTCTCAAAAACACATGTTTATGGGAAGTTTAGTTTGGAGATGTATGTTTTTAACTGAAATCACTCTGGAAAGGGAGGAGGAGTGGGTCTCAAAATTGCTAAAATAACACATTTCTAATTCTTCTGGTTCAAAGTAACTTTTCATTTTGAAATGTAAGCTAATAACAGCTCGGTTTCTTGACCACTTTTTATAGTGAAAATTAAAACAAAACATCAAAATTATAGAAACAAAGTGCTATAACCTAAGGCAAACGTTTTATTCTCATTTTGGGGGGTTTACAAACACTTCTGAGACATCAGCTTTCCACTCCAGTGCAGGTTGGCTGGTTCAGGTCTCTGTTGTTTTAGTTTGGGAGGGAGGATGATGAGGTTCAGTCTCAAAAAATGGTCATGGGGGCTGTGCCTCGCTCTGCCTCTGTGTGCTGGGCTGGGGCAGGCGTGGGTGAAGGGCAGGCAGTAGCTGGCATTTGGCTTTTACGGGAGCCGCTTGCAAGGTGCTGGGGGATTGCAGATGTCTCGGGGTTGGCGGGTGCAGTGCGGGTGAGCTGGCAGAGATGGCTGAGGCAGATAGGGAGCACCCAACCACGTGTCCGGGCACCTCCTCGCACGGGAGACGGGTGGCGGGGTGGCTTGGCTGGCCCGAGCGGCAACGGGCTGTTATCGCCGCCACGGTCTTTGCAAAAGGCTTTGGGAAACCCACGTGTTGCCAGATCTCAGAGCTGATTATTTTTTTCAAAATAAAAGGCATTATTTTTGTACTGCGAACCTCCTCTTCAGCTCTCTCCCTCCTCCCCTCTCTCTCTCTCCCACACACACACGTTTTTTGCTGCCTTGGGGGATTTTAGCAGCGCAGGGCTCTGAAAAACAGACTCCTACCTCCTTCCCGCAAGCTCAGGGAAAGCAAGATGCTCTATAGATACCGGGCTGCAGGTCAAAGTTTCCAGCATTACAGAATGAGACAAGAAAACAGCAATTCATGCTAGTGTCATAAAACCTAAAGTTGGGCTTTGGTTGGTTTGTTTTACAGGGTAGGTCTGAAATGCCCTGGCAGTGCCGTGAGCTGGCACGTGAAGACGCTCCAAGGCTGTGGGAGCGTGGCAGGGGGCCGAGCTCCCGACGGGACCACCGCGGCATGGTGCCGGGGTGCCAAACCCATCCCGATGCCTCCGAGCACGGTGCCACCGCTGCCGTCCCGGCCCTCGGCCGTGGCCGCTGATTAATCCCAGGCGAGGGCCCTTTGAGCGGCATCCTCAAACAGCACCGCGCTTCGAATAAGCTGGTTTCCATCTGAATCATAAGTCTCCAAAAGTGCCTGCGCCGCGCAGAGCCGGGCAGACATGTGTGTGCGTGTGGGGCTGGATGTTGATTTTTCCCTGAAACAACTCAAGGCTTTATCAGTCCCATCTCTTTCCCACGGTTTTCTGTTGCCAGTGAGGTCACTGGTCCCTTTAAACTGGGGCTGAGGCCAATGTGCAGCGGGTGGAAGGGGGGCCGTGGGCAGGAGGGGGGGGGACATGAGACGGTTCACACAGACTGTTCCTTTTACAGGAAGACTTGGGATTTCGACCAGCGAGCGGGAGGAGGCGGAGGGGGTAGAGGAGGCGGAGGGGGGGGCCTGGGAACCTGGGAGCGCCGGCGCGGCCGCGTAATCCGTCACTCCCGGGAGATGTCTCATTAACCCATTAACCAGGGAGGTTGGGGACGTGCTGGGAGGAGAGCGAGGGAGAAGCCGGGGGTGTGAAAGGCAGAGTGCGGGCAGGGGAGGAGCCGTGCGAGGCACTGGGGCCAGCTCCTCCGCGCAGCCCGGGGAGGGACGGCACTTCCCCGAGGACGGCGGGGAAGGACGGCGGTGGCCTCCGGGGCCACGCGTGGGGCAGCCTCGCCGAGTCCACCGGCTTCACCCCCCTAGAGCCCCGCGGGGACGCGGCCGCCCGGGTGCCGCCTGCGAGGATGAAGCGGTTGTGCGAGGAGAGCTCGTCCGACACGGAGTCCGACGGCACCATCGACGTGGGCCGGGAGGAGTACAGGTGAGGACGCGCCGCCGGCGGCAGCCCCTTCCCGGGGCTCAGGGAGGTGGGACGAAGTCGGGTTTTGGGGTCTCTGCTGCCGGGCAGCTCGGCATCCTGCGGGGGAACCCGGGCTGGAGAGGGAGTTCCCCGGGACCGGGCACGGCGCTTGCTCTTGCCCCGGAGCTTGCAGCGGCTCCCTGCGAGCTCCTCGGGGCGGCCGAGTTCGGCGCTTGCCGGGGCACGGCGCGGGAGGGCACCGGGCTCAGCCACGGACTCGCCGGGAGCCGGCTGGCACCTCGCTTAACCCCTTCGGGCTGGGCCGGTCCTGCCCTGGGCAAGGACGGGCGGGGGGCAGGCTGGATCACTCCAGCCTGCAAGCGTGGACTGATGCTGGCGTTAGGACTGACCCGGCAAAGAAACCCAAGTCGCGATACAAGTATTAAAGCTGTGTTACGAGCTGATTGCATTCAAGAAAACGCCTTATTCAAGCCAGAGCAATTGCCTTCTCTGCCAGAGAAGGGCAGCTCTGATCTTCGTTAGCGGGAGCCCGGTTGCTCGCAGGTCTCTGCACCCCGAGATGGGGCAGTCGTGTCCCCCCCAGAGCAAAGGCACCCATCAGCTGCCCGGGTGCCGCTGCAGTCCCAGCGATCCAAGGGCTCCCGGGGAAAGTGGAAGGAACGAGGAGGTTTTGCATGAGAAACGCTTCTGCTCTGCTGATGCATTTCTAATGCACCAGCTGGGGCTTTGATCTTTATTAAAGAGGGAGCCCGTGCAGTCTGGCCAGCAAAGGGTGCCCTGCTTTAAGCGTACACTTTCAGTATCGTAGTTCGCAGGCTCCATCCCATCACTGCTGAGCTGCAGTTTCGGCTCTGGGGCTTTGCTGCTGGGTGAAATAGTGAGTAAATACTGAGGACAGGACCTCTGCGTGGTTCCCCAGGCAATGTTCTCGGGCTTCGCAGCGCTCCCCTGGGCCGTGGCTCTGCTGGCAGAGGGCATCCCCAGCCACTGCTCGCAGCCCGGGTTCCCATGCTGTGTCAGCCATTCCCGGGCATGCCCGGGCTCTGAGCGTGCAGATAGTGCTGGGGATGAAGGAAGGGCTCTGTTATTTGGTCTCATCCGAAAATCAGCTGCTTTTGAACTCTCGTTTCGGTAGCCAAGTGTCCCCCTCCCTCTGCGTCCAGCGAGTCCCCAGATGAGTTCATTCCCTTTTGCCGCTTGGTATCCTGAGCAGAGAAGTCGCCCTGTCTGGTGCCAAGCTCGGGTTCTCATGGGACTAAATTAATGAGTCTGCTTCTCACTGATATGGTCACAGTAGAGTTGGGCATGTCCAACACGTAATGTCCTGCACAAATTCACTCACCCCTTACGCAGTTTCCAAGTGCATCAGTATTTAACCTACCTTCCTGCTGCACATGAGATATATCCCACTTCTTTACATCAGTGCAGCACACTGAGTCTATAGTACCCCGATGGATGAAGTAGAGGAATTGTCATAATGTTTTATTTCAATAAACAGTAACAATGAATTTTTGATCTCTCTCTGGTGCTGCTAATATGTCTTCTCAAGCCAGTCGTAGAACCAGACAGCGCTGTGATCTGGTGGTATTTGTATATAAGTATATTGTTGCTCGTGTCACGCAAACACATGGCCAAAAGAGCTGTTCCTGCCCTGACAGAGTTTACATCCCAAGTAATATGGTCCTGCATGGGATGCTGGCGGATTGAGCAAAATGAAACACTTCCAGGTGGGGAGTGAGGTAGAACGATTAGGGCAGAGGGAGGCAGCCAGGTAGTCTGGCTGGGGTTCCCAGCCCATTACCCATCGGTTGAGTGGTTTGGGCAAACCAGTTTCCCTGTAGAGTGGGGATGAGTCACTCCGGGTGTGAGGCTTGGTTCAGTGCGTGTAGCAGGTTTAGACTCCGGGGTCACTGCAAAAGTGCAAGATACTGGTTGGTTTTGGGGTGGTTTTTTTTGCTTTTTGCTTTGAATGAACAGCCAAAGTTATGCTGTAAATGATAAAGTCGAGCACAGAGCAATGCAGAAATTTTAAACATCAGAGAATATAGTTACGGTATCTTTTATGTGATTCAAATCAGTCAAACACATTTTTTAAACATATTTTGCAGTGAGCTATGTCTTTATATCCACATCTGGAACTGTAGTTCACAAAGAGCAACGCGTTCGGACAGCTCTGCAAAGAGTTTCAAAATTCACTGTTATAGACTCCTTGAGTGCGTACTCCGCATTCCTGTGCTGCTAGGTGAATTCAGTACCTGCCCCCTGCACATATAACACCCCAGCGTCCGCACAGAGCCCATTTTCACACCATACGTGCTCACCGTATGTGCATTTATGTATACCAGCAATGCATGTTCGTACTTGCGAAGCCAGCCAGCACCTATGCCCAGAGAAAGCCCACCCAGCAGACATTCAAATAGGGTACCTGTATGGAGATGAGCGGAGCAGTCAGTAGTAGAACGTGTTATTTCGTCTGATTGTGTAAAACCACTTCTGAAAGCACCTCACTTGGGCCTAACAAAATGTATTTTTAATGGGCTGAATTTGGTCTAGTTTTTGGCTTGCTGTGCAGACAGTACTGTCTCTGCAGAAACATCTTTAATAGACTGCTATTAAAATGCTTCGTCAAACTGAAAAATATTTTGATTTGATGGGGTGAACCCAAATGCCCCTTTCCAGATTTGTATGTCTTACGCGGTCTCTGAGTCCCTCCGGAGCGCTGTGCTGGCCAGGATTGCAGACTGCCGTCTTGCCTGCGTGTTAACATCCCTGCACCGAGTTTCGTAAGGCGCAGAAACAGCCCTGAGCCAGTCCCACTTCCAGAGGGAGAAACCCTGCTTGGGGGAGGTGGAAGGTCGCCTGGCCGGCCTCCCCTCCAAGCGGAGGGGTTTTGCTCCAAGAAGTTTCCCACGCCTGGTTATCCATCATTATGGAGACTTCACCTCCATGGGGACCTAAGGATTGAACTTTGCCTCCCTGTGCATGTCTAGTGCTGACCTTTGGTGGTTTTAGCCTCACCCGTGTCCACCAGGCACTGGACAGTTTGTGGGGCCGTTCTCCATAGCCTGTCCCCCCGTGTCCCTTGTCCCTTGAGCAGAGCTGGTCCTTGGGGCTGTTGGCCAGCAGGCACAGTCTCTGCTCTGTCACCTCCTGCCGGGTGTTCCCCCTGCCCAGGTCCTGGCCCCTCTTTGTCTGGTTCAGGGGTATCCATGCATTCAGAATATCATGGCCCACCCCAAAAATTGTGGTTTGTGAAGCGACTCTGCAGGAAGCCCTCAGAAACCACATCAACGCTGCCGTTAGCCTCACCCTGAGGAGCAACCAGCCCTTTGCTGCCGCCCTGGGTGGGAGCTCAGATACACGTTCGTGCTATCGCAGCGCTGAGATGCAAAGCCTTGCAGACAGGGCAGGCTCAGACACGAGAGCCGGGAGGTTCACACATGGAGAAAAAAAAGGCCATGACTCCAGAGCTCGGATCACTGCTTTTCCAGCCTGTGGAGATACCAGCACGGGCTGAGATTGAAGGAGACGTGTTGCTGGTAGCGGATGGACAGTTTGGTGCAGAAATCTGTCCCAGGCTGGTGGGAAACTCTCGGAGGGGAGGGAGTGGGATTTGAGTCTCTACTTGGTTCCCCATCCCCAATTCCTGAGCTCTGTGTTGTGGGTAAAAATGAGATGGGAACCACAGAAGATGTTATGGGGGGGGGGGGAACTGCAGATGGCAAACGTGTGTAAAGCATATGTGCAACGGAAGTTTCTCTCCAGCTAGTGCAAGAAATTATTCCCTCTTCTTCCCTTCCAGCCATGTTTCCAGGTCTGTGTCTCCCACTACGACATCTCAGATACAAGCCAGGAAGAAGAGGAGAGGGGTGAGTCTCATTTATGTTGGGGGTGTTGGCATTATGTATGGGAGTGGCTGTGCTGTGTCTCCCTGGGGGGTTTGGCTGGTTCCAGCTGTGTGCCAGGGCTCCCCGTGACATCCCCTGTGTGCAGTGGGGTGCTGTTGGCACATCCTTACTCTGGGGACGCAGTGCAAAATTGACTTTACACTGTTCCCTGCTCCATCTCCTGCAGAGCTCTCCCCACAGCCAATTCGAGATTTTTTGCAGAGGTTTGGCCTCAAATCTGGAAGAAAGGGGTGGGGATAGGGGTGGAGGAGAGCAATTTCACCTGGGGTTGTCACACCAGTCAGTTAATGTTTCTTTGCTCAGCTTTTGCACCCAAAACATTTACTTACATGGCCCTGTTCAAAGCGCCTCTCTCAACCTGCCATAGCTGTTAATGAGGGCTTTAGACCCACGAGCTGTGGCTGTAAATGACCATGGTTTCTTCTCTCCACTTGGAAATCTCTCACAGATCATTGAGAAGCGGCGCCGTGACCGTATCAACAGCAGCCTCTCCGAACTGCGGCGCCTGGTGCCCACCGCCTTTGAGAAGCAGGTGTGTGTGTCCATGATTTCTACCCATCCTCCTGTGCAGGCTGTGTTTCAGAATGAGAAAGTCTGGAGCAATGCTATGTCTTTCTTATCATCATCACTTCAGGGAGTAAGTAGGTGGTGAAACTGGGTGGTAAAACAATATTAACAAATATTCAGGAGCCCTAGGGAGGATAAATTCAGTCCAGAAAGTGTTTTGCAGATATGAAGATGCACAGAAATGGGGATTTTCAATTTGCATCAGGGCATCTTGGGAAAGGAGCTCCTTTTTCTACTCACTTGATGTAAAAACCAGAGCCAATGCTCTGGCTGGATGCCCTGCTCCAATCTGAGCCCTCCTGCGCTTCAGGACGGTTTCAGGAAGGAAGTCATTGGGCATAACACAGCCCCTGAGAGGCACAAAACCCTAGACCAAAAGATGATGAATTGCTCTTTTTTCCTGCTCCCAACATACAGGGGTCTTCCAAGCTGGAAAAGGCAGAAATTCTACAAATGACAGTAGATCACTTAAAAATGCTTCACGCCACTGGAGGAACAGGTAAGAACTGTTTTTAGAAGCATACGGGTGAGGTGAAGGTGAAAACCTGGAAGGAAAATTCCCCATCAGCCTCAGCAGCAAGCAATACCTTGATGCTGGTGTGCCTTGCTAACACCAGCCAGCACCGAAACGAATGCTGCCCTGCCTGCTTCCCAAGGGAAATATTTTTTGAGGGAGGGCAGATGGACATTTCCTGCCCTGTTGTTTTTTATATGGGTCAGCATCCCATGCATCCATTTGGCAGACTGGGGTATGTGGGATGGCAAGTCCCACAGACCTGCAGGGACGGCACCCCACTAAAAGCTGTCCAGCCAGAGACGTGCTTAGTCCTGCTCAGAAATGAAGCCTGCTTCCAGAAAAACGATATTAAACTCTTTACCTCCTCCCTGGGACACATTTCCTGCAGAGGCTGAATTCTGCATGGGGACTCTGCAAATAAACAAGGCTTTTTTCCCTTTCTGTTCTTTTTTTTGTGTCTCTTGGTTGTTATAAGAAGAGAGAGGGAGCCCTGTGCAAAATTCAACAAAGGTCTTATTTGTACTGAGACCTCAGTACAGACCCTCTGTCCTGTTCCAGTTAACAGGATGGAGATCACAGCTCCAGTAAAGAAGCCTCTGGCTTGCTTACCACCCATTTTTGGCTTGCTGGGGACATTGCTGGCATCCAGGCTTTGGTTCAGAGCTGTAACTTGGTCTGGAACATTTGTTTAGATATTCAGTTTGACTGCACTGCAACAAAGGGCTGTATTGTCACGAGAGACCCTGTCAAGCAAAGTGGTCCAGCGCTTCACTGTGCTGTGACATTCTCTGCTTTATTGCTTATCGTCTCATGAAGCTGCAAGTAGGGAGCAGAAGCCTAAAAATCAGCCATTGGTTGCATTTTATCTTGTTGATTTCTGTGGCTTTGAGCTTTCTTGGTCCAGTGGTTTTGGTTCTGCCACTGTCCTGTGTCCTTCAGCTGGACATCTGTTTAAGTCAAGTATAAAGATTGGGACCCAGGCAGAGGAAAATGGTGCTGTGGATTGAGGAGACAGTGTCCCGCTGTTCTGCAAGACCAGGGATTGTCCATTTGCAACGAGGGACCCAGTGCCCACCTAGCCCACAGTCATGTCTCCAGCAGCGAAAACTGATAGAGTCCAATAGGAAAAAATTTTTCCTTCCCGAGCACAGTTAATGAAACCTCTTACTCATCTCACATGCTGGAGTAAGAGGCTTCATGACCCTGGCAGTTTTATCCCGATGAGATAACCGCAGATGCTATTCTCATGCACGCAAACGTCCAGTCCTTTCGGACACCCACTTGGCTATCTGCTTCAGTAATATCACACAGCAGCAAAGTGCCTCAAGTGAAATACACAGTGCATTAGAGAGGGTAGTGAAATCAAAGCACATTCCTGGGCTCTGCATGGACTTATTGTCACCCGTGTCCTCTCCCTACAGGCTTCTTAGATGCTCGAGCTCTGGCCGTGGATTACAGGAGTATCGGCTTCCGTGAATGTCTCACCGAAGTTGTCAGGTACCTGGGCATCCTCGAGGGCCAAAACACTGCCGACCCCATCCGTCTGCGACTCCTCTCCCACCTGAATAATTATGTGGCAGAAATGGAGCCTTCGCCTGTGGCCACTTCTCTCCTGCCCATCCAGACGTGGCCGTGGTCCTTCCTCCACAGTGCTGCTGGCCCCGTGCAAATCCCCAGGAGGGAGGCTGCTCCCGCTCCAGTTGTTTTGACTGCATCTTCCTTGGCTTACCCAAGCCCCGCTGTGAGGCCAGCACCGCTTCGCCGTGTCCCCAGCGACATGCTGCCATCCCGCCGAAGCTTCCTGGCCAGCAGGATGGCCTCTTCCAGCCGCAGGGCCCGAGGCGCGGGCTCATCCACGGCCATAGCAGCTGTGCCCAGGATGCCGTCACCAGCGGGCATATTGAGAGAGGGCTCATCCAAGAGCAGCCAAATAGCAACGTTCCTCTTCTCACCAGCCTCTGCCGGCATCCCCATTCCACCGGCTTACACAGCGCCTCCTGCCTTGGGCGCTGCCGCGCAGGGACCCGGGATCAGGGTTGGGACATCCAGGATCTGCCGCTCCTGGGCTACTGAAATCGGGGCTTTCTGACCCTCCCCTGCCCTTCGGAGACAGGAATTCTTCAGCACTCATTGCCCACAGGCCTAAGAACAAACTCAGCTGAAAAGGCATCTTTCCTGCTTTGCAGAAGCCAAGGATCCATAAAGAAAATTCTCTTTACTCTTCCTTCCCTCCTCACACCGCTTTCTTTGCCTCACCATCACACATCCTCTCCCTCATGATGCCTGCAAACGTAAATCACATCCAATTTGATGCACTTGTCTGCACGCGGCTGTACTCCAGATCCTTCTGGCTACGAGGGAGGGGGCACACGCAGATCTCAACCCTGTTCCTTCTCCAGCACATCCCTCTGCAGAGCCCAGTGTTGCTCTCCTTTGGAAAACAGCCAGCCTTGAAATACTGTCTTATTTCCTTGGGGACTCAAGAGCTGCCAGAGACTTGCTCATGCTGATTCCCTGTGATGTGTCCCCCAGCTGCAGCACCTAGTTTTGGTGTGGTGGGACAGACTCAGCTCAGCCCCCTCCCCAGCACTGCTGGCACCCGGCAAGGCGGCTAGGGCCCCCCCCAGCTCCCTTAGCGAACTGGCTGCCTGCTAATCCCCATGCTTTCCTTGCTGCATTACCAGCTTTTCCCACTTACGTGCCCTTAAGGTGGAGTGAGGCAACAGCTTAACAGAGCTCGTTCCCACAGCCAAGCTGAAATACTGCCGTGTCCACAGGGCCTGTGCTGGGTCCCTGCACAAACCGTGCAGGAGCAGCTGGCCAGGCTGCCTGGGTGGAGGGAGGCTTCTGCAGCCCTTGCTCCGCACTGAGGTGTGAAGAGGCGAGATGAGGCAAGACAGGGGATTTCAAAGGGACGTCTGTCACGGAGGGGAAGGCTCTGACGGCCAAAGCGAGAAGAAAAGGCATTTCCCTCTGCCAGTCTCCCCACTGGAGCCATCTCTCCTCCATCCCCTGCTGAACAGCTGTGACTGCAAAGGGGGGGAATGGGTCAGACCAGCCTGCATTTGAAGTGCCTCCTTCATTCTCTCTTAGCTCTGCATCCCTCACCCTCTCCTCCCAAATGTCTCTGTTTTCTTTCTTCAGCACCGTGTTTTGGTCTCACATTGCTCATCCCTCTCCCTGGGCCAGGACTAAAACCCACTAAGGTTTCACAGCAGACCTCGGCAAGCTCTGGGTCTGCACTTGTCCTGATTACTGAGAGCTTTTTCTGACTTGGCCTGCATGCCCCTAGATAACTGACGCAGCAGATATGCTTCTGCTCCTCCAGCTGTCCTCCCCTCCTCTCTTCTTTGGGCAGAAAGGAACAGAAGCTTGAAGCTCTCAAGCCACCCTGCTCCTGTGCCACGTCTCTAACTCCTATGGTGGCCAGGGCAGGGTCTCCCAGTGCTCCTCCTCATCTGAACAGCCCTCGCTCCCTGCATCTGTGCCTTGACTTGCTGGGATACACGTGCAGAATAGCCTGGACCTAGCTGCATGCCCACCCCAAGGAGTCTTGCCCACCTCTACAGCACTGTGACATGAAAAGAGAGAAAAGCAGGGAAAGGTCAGTGCAAACAAAGGTAAAAAAGAGGGAGAAGATCTCTCTTGAATGGGAGAGCCTCTCCCCATGCCTCAGGTCAAACGCACAGCCGGTTAGACTGTGTGGATGAGCTGGTGTTTGTGGTCCTACAGATCGTACCTGCCATGTGCATGTCAATGTATGTATCTGCTATTGTTTTGAAAGTGAGTCCCTCCCAGTTGTTTTGATGAAAGTCGTCACACTTAACACACAGAAATGCTTCCACTACTTCTCTTCACCCTTGTCCTGAAGTGCCAGAATCAGCCAGGAACAACATATTCCCTTTTAATAAAGTCAGAGGATGTCCCCGTGGACCCCGGTTGTTCCTGCGGCTGGTCGGCACGCTAGAGCTCACAGCAAATAGCCCAGCCTCACTTTACACTGTGCAGAGCTGTTAGATTCACGAGCTGTGACATCCAGCAAAGGTGTCAAATAAAGTCTTTCAAACCCCTGTCCTGGCTGTGAAATGTAGTGTTGATGTGAATCTACTCTGCTAATCCAGCCTGCTTGGATGACTGCTAGTTTTGCAGCAGGTGAGCTTTTGTTCCTGAAAAGCTTCAAAAAAGGTGAGATGTAGCTTGTAAGGTAACATCCCTCCTGGTCGCTTTATAGCTGCTGCTCTTAGTAACTCTGCTCCCATGACTTTTTACTTTGCAAACCACTATGTGAGTCAAAATCAGCCGGATAGTCAGCAGTGCTTGCCCTGAGACTGGCAATAATCTGTGGCTTGAGAACAAATAATTTCATTTAGCTACCAGCATCCACAAAAATGTCAGGGAACAAATCAGGTCCAGCAGAGCCTTGCAGCCAGACGCCAAGGGCTCGCCTTGGTCTCCTGACCCTTTGCAAGCAGGACCAGAATAACCCCTGCTGCATCTTGCTGTCGGGAAGTGCTTTGGACTAAACAAAGAGCCACAGCTGACAGCTTGTCTCTGTTTTGAGGAAAGGACCAGTAAATGATCCTTCTCGTGAAAGATGCTGGGAGAATTTTCTGGGGAATGGTGGGAATTCGACTTCCTTTCCCATAACTCCTTCTCGCTCCAAAACGCCTTTCAAAACCGCCCATAAATCCCTGCCTTAAGTGCTGTGTTGGGAATTGCTGGAAGGGAGCAACTGCAGCTGTGATGGAGTAATGCAGCATCCGTCTGGAAGCAGAGAGAGACTTCAAGAGCAATAATAGGACTATTGATGACGGGTCATCCCGCTGGTGCCTGGGCTGCCCCGACCCGGCTGGAGGCGGCGGTGGGAGCTCAGTGCTCTGGTGTGGCCTCGGCCAGAGAGAGGAACCAAATTACCCTCTGTGGGAGGCAGGCATACAAACCAGCCCCGCGGGCTACAGTGGTAAAACAAAACAGAGACAGTGAAAAAAAAACCACTTCCTGATCTCTGCTGATCAAACAGGAGCCGGAGCGGGTGGGAGGGCATCGGTTCAGGCCCGTGGGGTTTTCTACCCACAGCAACATGGTGATTAGAGCAGTAGCCCGGGACTGGAGCTTCATTTTTTTCCCAGGGTTTTCTTTAGCCTGAACGTCTCCGCTAACACATCCTGGCAACTTTTGATCTACCCCTGTAGGGGAAATCCCCGGACTCTCCACACACTCTCTTCATCCTTGTTCTTCAGGCAAAAATCATAATGAAGAGGCCTATGGGAACGCGTGGGCTGCGTTCGGTGCAGTCCGGCTGGGGTTGCTTGGTGGCATACAGTGGTGTTAAACACCGCTCCAGCTCCGACAGCGGCAAGGCTGGAATAAAACAGCGTCCTGATGAACGAGCTTTTGCCTGCTACTTGGAGGGGACAAGGGCACTTCCAGGTTGTGGGAGATTTGCTATGCAGCAGGTGCTCTAGCAGCGAGCGAGTGCTGCTCTCCCAAATTCCCCTGCATGAAAAATGTTCCTTATCTCAGTCCTGCCGTGCTTGCCCTGGGTGAAATGCTCTCCCTCCCGCACTTTTGCGTTTTTCCACTTGCAGTGCAATCCCGGCCTGCCCTCTGCTGGTAAAATCCCAAAGCTAAGTAAGAGAAATCCTAAACTAAGGTCAGCATTTGGTTGAAAACTTGCCATCCGTGTTGAAAAATGGATGATCTTTTATGATGACCATCAGCGACTGAGATACCGCTCAGACACACGGTAGCAGAGCAGCTTGGGAGGCCTCGGGGTGACAGGTCTCACACTAGCGTCATCGATGGGAATGGACTGGCAAGATGAAGACATTAAAAGATGTAACCTTTGCTCCAGGCACTGCTGAAGGTCTTGAGAAGGTGAACTGGGAGGATCTTGGGCATCGGTGGTCACCAGGAGCAGCTGCACTCGTGTGTCAAGGGTACCAAGAGCAGTGGAGTCCCTGGGGCAGTTTTGGGCCCCTGTGGGCAGAGGGTACCCCCAGCCTGTCAGTTCGTGTCAGGAGTGTAAAGGACCAAGGAGGACACAGGACTGTAGTTGTCTGCATGGTGTCCCCTGGGAGGGGAGGCAAATGTCAATAAGTATGTTTCAAATAAAAGCCATTCTCCGTGTAGCCACAGCGGCTGCTTGCAGCCAAAGTGTGTTTTATATGGAAACATGTTCTTCAAGCTCTGCTGTGTTTTGACTCTAGCTTTTGAGTGGGAGCCATGCCGAACTCCTTCCACAGCAAGACGCTTGTCTCAGACCGTGGTTTCCCAGCTGAGGAAATGCCAGGCTGCAGAGGACCGAGCTGCGAAACAGCAGCAGGCGCTGGGCGCGATCCCACCAGTGTGTACCAGTGCTGCCTCCCAGCACCACCGGCTGTTGGGAGGAAGATGATGAGCTCAGGAGGAAGATGATTTGTGTCTTTAGAAAATAACCTGGGCTGAAAATATTGCAAAATATTACAATTTACTTTGCTATTGTTACCTTCTATTCTGCTACTCTCGACTATTCCACTGTAATGAAGGGATAGGTATCATATCCCTTTTTTTATGATAACGTCATATTCCACTTTTAAAGCAAATTAAAGGCAATGTAAAGCAGAATTGAAAAGTCACAGCAGACCAGCTACCAGCCTCTGTAGACTTAGTCCCCCTTAACAGGACATCCATGGTGCCTGAAGGTCACTGATGAATCACTGAATCCCGCGCTGCTGTGTCCTCACGGTCTGCTGAAGATGCTGGAAATAGATAATTATGGGTTTCCCCGGAGCTGAATCTCGTGAGCATGAAGCTGTGGGACAGTGGAGGGGGGTGAATCCTTCTCTTGTTCCAGCAGCTTTCTTCTGCATTCGGAGTTGTTCAACCCTCACCCTGGGAAGAGGGACTGACAGCTCGCTTCCACGGAGAGACGTTGAGGACCCTTGGTCCTGCTCCAGGGCGTCCCATGATGTGAGCTGGCACAGCGCCGGGGCTGCTGCAGGAACTCGCACTTATTTGAGGAAAAATTATGCTCTGGAGAAGAGGAGGAGGCTGTGGGAACAGCTCCAGCTACGGCCGCTCCTCATCTCACCGGCAGCGACACCTCCGAAACAATAGCTTGGAGCAGCGAGAAAAAATTATTCCAGAGGAATTTTTCACTCTCCTGGTGCATTCCTCTGCTCGTCCTGCTCCTTGCCCCGATCCCAGGCCCCGGGCCCCTCATGTTTCGTGGCAGGACTGAGCTGCCCCGTGAGACATCCGCATGCAGAGGATGGGGACGGGATGGGATGGAAAACAAGCCCAAGAACAC